TCGTCGTCATTATCAAGATCAAATTCATTAAGTAGATCGTCAAGCATTAAGCCTTTGCTGTCATGGTTCACCTTGAAAAAATTATGTCAAGTCCTTCAAGCGTTCAAAGCTTGAAGAGGATGTTTCAATTTCTTCCAATAGTGACATTTGCACTTGATATTAAATCTAGCATTGGTTTTTGTGACTTAGTATTTGGCAGCAATAATTGGATTAAAGATGAAGCAAGGGTCGATCTTCGGAAGATGGTTCTGTTCACCAATGAAGTTGCAAAGAAAGAGAAAACTACATATATGAGCAATTTCACTGTCACCATTGTTGCATTCATCTTTGAAACCACAGAAAAATCACAAAAACTTGCTATTGAAGTCTTCAAGAAAATAAATGAATATATGATCTCTACAACACCTCCACAACACACTATTCTCATATTTGATCCCAGAAGAGCCATCACTTACTTCATTACATGTTGCCTCCCCATTATTAAAAATTTCAGAATTGTGTTGCATATAATTTGTCTTGTAACTTTCATTGTCTCATTCACAGTTTGACATTTCATTTTTTTTTTAATTTCAAGCTAGTTATGATTACCATTGCCTTGAGGGGGGATATTAGAGAATATAATTAGTTAGTTTGTTATGAAGTTTGTTACACCCAACAAACTTTTATAAATAAGTGCAATTGTAATTCATTTGAATTATCTTTTGATCAATATGAAATATTCAGAGAATTATTCTCTCTATTTGGCTTATGCTCGTATTTTTCATCCTTTCCATACTCTAATTTCCAAATATCCAGGAGGCTTCGGACGGGTAGTTCCTTCGGCAATTGGTCGAGGAGTTCTACAATCTCTATGTCCTCGGCAGGGAGTTTTGATTTTGATATAGCCTCGTAACGAGTCGGACGCCTTGTCCAGTAGGAGGGGAATAGGGGAGTGTTTTCGCGATCATAGAAACAATCTCTCATGTCCGACCCCCAACGAACCTTAAAAAACCCACTCTTAAA